GGGCCCCGGCCCCCCCGGGGGCCCCCGCCACCCCCACAGTACTGGGCCAGGCACAGCCGGGGGGGACCAGCGCAGCCCCGGAGGTCACCCCGAGCACCCCAGCACCTTCAGGAGGAGCAGAGCAGATGTGTGGGTTCCCCCCCAAAGGAGCATCCGAGGCTGTTTTCCCACGCACAGGTAGAGCTCAGCTCCAGGGATGCTGAGGCCTGGAAATTTGGTAGTGAGTAGTTTCGGGACTGTCGCTCCCGGCTCTGCTCCGGCAAGCTGGGATGTCCGTAGGCACTTTTGGTTCACCAGCCAGCCCTATCTCCTTCCTCACCCCCCTGGGGAGACCCAAGGGCTGCCAAACCCGACACCCCACCCAAGGGGTGCTCACGGCCGCTCGGGGCCCCCGCCACCACGGGAAGGTCATTTTCCCACAGCTGTGGATGCAAAGGAGCTTTGACAAAGTCTTTCTCCGCTCCTCTCCCCCCGGCTGTCCGCTCCCAGACCTGCAGGGCCGGAGGCTCATCCTGGCGATGCTGCGGCTCCTGCCCTCCAGCAAACCCAGCTCCCTGCCTCAGGGTGCCGGCAAGCGAGAGCCTTTGCCCCGCGGGCTGCCCACGGTCCCCACGCACGTCCCATCCACGCAGAGCCCCTACGGGCGGGCAACGGGGGCTGCTGGGGCTCAGCTGGGGGAAAGTCCTGCGCTGGGCTGGCCCAGCAGCTGTGGGGGTGACATTCCCACAAAGCACCCATGGCCAGGATTGGGCAGTGGCAATGTGGCATCCCTGGCTGCAAGATCCCCTGACACCGCTGGCCGTGGGGCTCGGAGGGCTCCAGTCCGACCCCATCCCCACCAGCCTGCAGGGTGCTCAGCCACAGGCCAACCCTCTGGTTTGTCTCTTCAGGGGCAGGTTTGGGTCCCACAGCCCCTTTTGCAAGGGCTGGCAGCCCCCATGCCGGCGGCAGGGAGGGATGGGTGCTGCTGGGTGCAATGTGGCTCTGCTGTCTCTAAAGGGAGTTGGGCAATGCTTGGGTGCAGGTGTCCAGACACGCCGGCTGACCGGTGCAGGGCCTTGCCCACACATGGGGACCAGCAACCACCAGAGGGTAGCAGATGGTCGCAGCCATCCCACTGCAGTTTGGGCAGGGGATGCCCTGAAAGCTCCCCTAATCCCACCCTAATCCCACCCCTCTTCTCCTGGGTCTTGCTCCACCACCTCCTCCAGCCCACCTCATGCCCTCTGTCTGGGTGTGCAGCCCCAGCGATGCCTGTCCTGGTCTCCCCATGCCAACGAGGTGGATGCCGGTCCCCATCACCCCCTACGCCACGCTCAGAACAGTGCAACTTCAGCACCGATTGCAAACCCCTGGGGGAAGGTCCCTGTCCCAGGACACTGCCCACCAGCGTGGAGAAGAGAGGGGTTGGGGAAAACAAACTTCAGTTTTCCACTACCTAGAGAAGGGTTGTGGAGGAGGGAGACACAGCAGTGCATGGCAAAAGGACAAGAGACCACAGGCACAGGTACCACAAGGGAAGCTCTGATGGTCATAGGAAGAATAACCTCCTCTGTGTGCATGGTGCATCGGTGTGTCCATCCCCCCTTGTCCTCTCCATGGGACTCCTTGTGGAAAGAGAGTCTCCATCTTCCCTGTAGCTCCCCCTTAGGTACTGGGACGTGGTGATGAGATCCCCTCTGAGCCTCCTTTGCTCCAGGCTGAACAAACCCAGCTCTCCCAGCCCATCCCCATACGGCTGAGAGAGGCTTCCCAGCCCTTGGGTCACCTTGGTGGCCCTGCTCTGGACCCCTCCAGCCTGTCCACATCTTTTTTACTGCACACAGGATCCCAGGTGTGGCCTGGCCAGTGCTGAGCAGAGTGGGGTGATGGCTCCTTTCTCTCTGCTGGTGATGCCCTTGGTGATGCCCCCCAGCACCCTGTTGGCCACCTTGGCCACAGCAGCACCCTGCTCGCTCCTGTGGAGCCTCCTGGCCATCAGCACCCTCAAGCCCCTTTCCACAGTTTGGAAGGGTTTCCAAATTTGACTGGACCTCAGAGCCTCTGATAACCTGACCTTTGAAGCTAGCCCTGCGTTAAGCAGCAGGTTGGACTCAAGACCTCTGCAGGACCCTTCCATCCTACATCTCTCTGTGTGACCCCATGAAACCCAAACCCAGCATCTTCTGACTTTGACCAGGTCTCCAGGAGCCAATGGCCCCGATGGGGACCATCACACTTGCAGTACGTCAGTAACTCCCTTCTCTCTGACACGACCTCTGCAACTATGGGAAAAAGAGACTGAATCATGGAATCATAGAATCACAGAATGGTTTGGGTGGGAAGGGCCCCCCAGAGGTCACCCAGCCCAACCCCCCTGCAGGAGCAGGGACACCTTGAACCACATCAG